GAGCTGGTGTCCCCAGCTCTCCTAAGCTCAGCCCGGGGGCAGGGGGACGAGCAGCAGCTGCCCCAGCTCTACCAGAGGCTGGGGGTGGAGGTGACAGGGCAGACACAGGGTGTCCCTGAGTACATCACCAGCCCTGCCACCACGGGCCTGCCCCTGCTGGCTGCTGAGGACCATCCTGAGCTCGAGGATGACCCACTGCCCGCCTTCCCGATGACTCTTCTGACACTCCTCCTGCCCTACGAAGGGAATCTGACTTTGGATGCAGTGAAAATGAACTCCAGCTCCTTCCCCAGGTAGGCGGGCAGCCTGGCCTGGCTCCTTGCACTTTACAGAAGCATTTCAGTCCCGTGACTCAGACGCGACATCTTTAAGCGGTTAGAAAATCATGCCCCAACCTCCCCAGCACTTCCAGCCACACCTCCTGGCCCCACACAGCAGCTCCTCACCCACCAGCACACTCAGGCAGCATCAGTGACAGAAGATCAGGAGTGCCAGGGCTGCACCACCTGGTTTTTGGAGAGGTTTGTTAATGATCCAGGTGCCTTCAGTCAGCCTGGGCTGCCTCAGGTCCCTGTCCCACTGCCCAGTGAGGAATGGCCCAGCCTGGTGTGGTCCACCCCAGAGCCAGAGCTCTGCTAACCATCATTTCAACCACTGATCACTGAGGAGGAGCAAGGAGTTGTGCCAAGGTCCCACCTCAGCATCACAGCCCTGCCCAGACCGCGGCTGCAGCCCCAGCTCTGCATGGGGACATCCACATCCACTGGTGCTCAACTGGTAATACTGGTGCACCAGCCTACCTGGCTACTGGGGGACAGGGCCCAGCACAGGGGAGAAGTCCTCACCAGAAGGAAAATCACCAGGCAGCACAGGTGCACAGGGAGTCAAATGGACTGGGGAGAAGAATTCCAGTAATTTATTGCAGTATTCTAATGGCAGGGTTGAAGTGTGTCTTGCACACTTAATGACTTTGTTTACTCTCTGTGTACAGATATAAATAAAAGGTTGGAAGCCTGACATCTGTTTCCTGTTGTCTCCTCCAGCCAAGTTCAAAGGCTACACTGCAGCTACACATAAAGCCAAGCCTTTAAAACCCAGCAGAAGTGCTGCTGCCAGAGCTGAGCTAGCCCAGCCCTGAGCTTACCTGGAGCATCCTCCTGCAGCCCAGCACCCAGTGGCTGCCCTGCATGCCCAGCTGGACACACAAGCCATGGAGCAGGGCCACAAACTGGTGATGGAAGCCCACTGTGACACCAGCATCTCCGGCCACCTCCAGCAGAGCTGCTCCCCAGCCCGGGGAGGGAGGGACCCTCAGCAGCCCCGCCAAGGTCTCCTCCCACCGCAGCGACCCATCCGCACCACCAGGCTGCAGCTTTCCCCACCCTAAGCAGGGACAAGTGCTGCTCCAGGGAGAGGCTTTTCCCCCCATGTGTTCATTCCAGATGGAGCTGTCTGACCCTCTAAAAAGGAGACCCACTGCTCTTGCTCTCCCAAGTGCAAAGGCACTGCAGGTCCAGCCTGACTTATTGAGGAGGCTCTTGCTGCCACACTGCCTGCATCCCTCGGCAAAAGGAAGAATGGTACCAACACAGTTGTGTGCACAACTGTTTTAAGGTCCTTTCGGGGGGAATGACATTCCAGCCCTGGCAGCTGCTCTCCTGGTGCCCAGCACCCAGTGCCTCCCCTCTGTGCTGCCCTGCACACGCTTCCCTTTGACCAGCACAAGGGGTGACAAGTCCCCTGGCTCTGCCAAACCTCGGCTTCCCAGCCTTGTTTCTGCATATTGAAAGCAAAACGACCCCTCAGCAAGGGTTTAGCTGTTGTGAGCCCACCGGGGAGAGCATTCCTAGGGAGCTGTGTGCTGGGAAGGAGCTGGGTACAGGCCGAGCATCCCGCACCTGCTCATTGCTGCTCCCACTGGACACCCGCAGAATTCCCAAATCCTGCATCACCTTCGTATTCCAACCCTGGGACTTGCTGGCAGCCTCACTGTCACCCCCAAAGGGGCTCAGGAGCTTCTAGCTGATGGCCACGGCTCAGATGGGACAGCAGGGGAAGATGCACTTTCACATCTATCACAATGGTTTGGATTGGAAGGGACCTCAAAGCTC